ATAATCTTTTAACCTGATCTGTAAAGTATACAATTATCATAAACAATGTGTTTTTTTTTCAAAAGAGTTAATCCTGCACAAGTGAGTGATGATTATCTGAAATATAAGTTGATATGGCCATATGCTATTCATGATGATGATGCCTTTGACTGAAAGGCTAATAAATAAAGTGTACTCTTTCATCATCACTATTTCATATGAATAAAATATGGAGTTTACAAATGTGGATTTATAAAACAAAGATTTGATTTAGGTTAAAAGTAGACAAGTTAGGTTTTAATCATAATCCTGTGTTTTTGATAACAGGTTAAGAAATAACAATCACTCAGCTTTCTAAGATGTCCTCTAAGTTTATGGATTGTTTATCTGTTATAAAATGCTATTGAATATTAGTCTGTCCAGAATATAAGATTGATAAGATAGTGCTACATTTAATTATGGTCAAGTCAGTTGTTTCTACCACCAATCATAAAAGATTTTCTATCTTCAATTTCTTCTCATATATATATTATATATATATATGTGTGTGTGTGTGTGTAAATAAGTTTATGAGGCAGCAGTTACTTACAAATCAAATAAAATGTACATTTTCAGAGTCAAATCTGGTTATTTTCAAGGAAACATTCTTCTGCCTTACGTAAAATTTCCTTATATATATATTTAAAAAGCCATTCTGGTTGTGTCAAGTCATTGCAGAGCATTTTAGGATGTAGTTATGTTCTAGAGTTAGTTATCCTCACAAGTGAGTGGAAAATTGACATATATATATATATATATATATATATATATATATATATATATATAGTGTGATGGCTAAATCTTTGCCATTTTATATTTTTAATTTTTCACATGTGCAGAGTTTTTTTTGATTTTGTTGAATGCCCAGTATAATAGTTGGGCACCATCTATGAGAAAAAGAGCACCCCTAATGCCATCCATTTCAACAGAAATTTGGAAACGCTATGCTGTATTGCATGGTATTTGTGCTGGAAGCTCCAATACAAACATTTCAGAGTGTTTGGGTGTCAATCTGAGGATGGTGCAGAGGATTCAGAAAGAGTTGGATGTGTCTAATAGTGTCTAATAGTGTTTACAAAGGTATGGCAACTCAGAAAACTCACTAATCATTCTGATAAGAACTCCCAATTTTGTTGATGAGAACCTTAGACTCAACATGGAGACCTACATCAAGTGCCTTGAGGAGATAGGGTCTTCTCGCAGCCACCCTCTTGGCCCAGGGTAGCACTATGTTTGGCAACAGGACTCTCCACCATGCCAAACAAGCAAGAAAGCCCAGTCATGGCTGTCAAAACTACAATTCCCTTGATTATTATGTGTAGGGAACAGTTAAGTGGGAGACTAACAAAATATAATTTTTCCACAGCTTTTTTTGTTGTTCTGATAATGAATGAATTGTTGAAAACAAAATAAAATTTTAAACACACTTGTACACATATCAAAAGAGAAAGTAATTTATTCAGAAGGAAAATCCTCAAGAGTGCTCCCATTGAATATTATCAAAATATGAATCTACACCCTGGTTTTTTCCTAATCTCACCTTTCCTGAAGGAAATACTACTTTCTCAAGCCAACACAGACAATAAATATGTTTAAAAATCAAAGGAAAACAGCTGATTCTATCATTTCAACTTTTGGAGATATCTAATACAAATGTCCATCTCATATTTCAATCCCCCAAAATATAATTTTTTTTTCTTTTCGAGTATACTAAATGATGTAATCTAAGGTCTAAATGCCTAGACATTTCAGTTAAACTGTTGAATATTTATGAGCATCTTTAAATTTAAAAATTTCCATTCAAAGATGCTATATGATGTAATCTAGGATCTAACACCCTAAACCTTTCAGTTGAATTGATGAATATTTATGAAATTTCTTAAATTTAAAAATTTTGAGTAACTGTCAAATATATACTTGTTACAAAATAAAATCATCACATTGGCCTTGATAAAATCCATCAAATGACAAAACGCACTGGTTAAAACTAAGTATAGTTTTACTCTTGTTTTTTCATTCATTTTGTCTCTTCTACAGATATACATCATCTGAGAATATTTACACACACACACACACACATATATATATATATAAAGGGTGTAATGAAAAGTTCTTCGACTAACTAAGAGACCTTTAAAAATATTTTGTGACGGATCTTTAGAATTGGGTCATCTTTCTTTGTATGCATAATTTATGCATATCAAAGAGAATTTGTTTTTGTTGTTAAATATATATATATAAATGATTGCATAAATTCCTCAACTCAAAAAGAAAACCCTTCTTCCAACTCTCAAAATATAATATTTGGACATATTTAGAGAAGTTGGTTAGACTGGGAGTTTTCAAACACTTCCTCATGCATGTATATCAGATAACAGTTAACAACATAGAATCTAATAATTGCTCAAAACTATTTTTCTTCATAGATTGCTTCATGAATTTGATCATAAGTTAAATCTTTATTTACTTTTATTGTATCATCTTCTGAAATCTTTCCTATCCTTGCAAATTCCATTTCTCTTTCATTGCCCAAGGCCATTTAAAAGAAGGGATTTCTAATTCCTTGGAAGATCTGACATCAATTTTTTAACAACCCAACCTGGCATCTTAGATTTAGTCACCTTCCCACTTACCCCTTTTCTATAAATATTTTCATGGCAATTGTTCTAATGAGTTTTTCTTTTTAGTACTTCAATCCCATGAATTTAAGCATAATACTAGATTGGTAACTAGGTCTTATCATTTTACTGTTGAAATAACTAGATGTAACTGTAAGTTCTATCCTAATAGTTCCTTCGCTGTCACTTCTTGTCTAAGCTTCTTGCTTTTTCTGTCAACTATGATCTTCAAAAATGTAAATGCAATGTCAATCATCATTTTCTGACCTTCTGAACCGTGTTTTTTGTTGTCCTTTCTAATCATTAATGTTTTCTCATTTTCTTTCACTCTTGATAACCCATTGAATCTTATTGGTGTTAGCCTCTTGCTTGGAGTAACATGATTTTTTAAAAACAGAAAGAAAACATTCTCCCACTTTTGTACTTTTCTGTCCTAAGTTCCTTATAATTCTTTCTGAACATCAGAATTTATGATATTTATTGTGTCATTTCATTTTTCTTTCCAAGGCCAAATATGTATTCTTTACAGTGTCACTAAATTTATATCATTATCTTTTAATAGACTTGTTGAACAATATGTGTTTTTTTTCATGATCAAAAATAGAAAGACTATTACATGATATTATAGTGAAGAATGGAAAACACAACAAAGAAATTGTGATAAATTAGCACTTACCTAAAATTTGCATGGTTTTATGTCATGTACTTTTTTGCATACTTAAGACAAATTTATGTCTTTTAACATCACACCCCTATTTATCTTTTGGTCCATCTATTTCTAAATGTTCTTGTTTATTTCTTGCATTTTCTTATATATATATATATATATATATATATAGAGAGAGAGAGAGAGAGAGAGAGATTTGAAAATGCGGAAAAGCATTCTTCTTTAAAGACCCTTTTCAATCAACCTTTCATCTGAAGAATATGTTAAATATTAAAAAATGAAGGGGAAGAAAAAATATACTGGAAAAAGAGCCAATGTAAAGGGTTCCTAATGATTATAAAATGGAAAAATTCACTCCCAACTTTTATTTTCTTGGTCTTTTAGAAGGTAAGTGAGTGAATTTTTCCATTTTATACTCACTAGGAACCCTTTACATTGCCTCTTTTGCCAGTATATTTTTTCCCCCCACTAATTTTTATTAATAAATTTGTATTTTAGTTGTGGTTCCTTTTTTCTCCTCCTTATATTTTTCTTTTCTCAGTGCAAATTGTTATTCTGTCAATTTAATATTTACCAACAGATTCTTCTGACAAAGTGTTGGTTGAAAAGGATCTTTAAAGAAGAATGCTTTCCTGTATTTTAAAATCTATTTATATATTATTAGTTTATATATATATATATATATATATATATATAGAGAGAGAGAGAGAGAGAGAGACCATGTTTGATTTATCAGGAAGTTAATCACAGCATCTGGCACCTTTGGAAAGTAACTGAAACCCATACCACCTTATAGTGAAATTGGGAATATACAACAGCTTAATGCTAGGAGAACCATTGATGACCTCTAAGTTAAACAAGTCATCATGACCAGAGGTCCGAGCATAATGGCCTTGATCAAACTGTTGATCAAGCCAGATAATGCACTCCTCCCAGAAACAATAACTGATCTGCTCAGCACAATGGACTCTGTGAGTGTTGAAGAAACACAAATCTGCCTACCCAAGTGTCTGCAACAGGGATCTGCTACCAACCCTAACAGGCAGGTGTGCTTGGAAACAAGTAACTGGCCATTGATATATATCTCCTCATTGGTAGCATGGCTTGGAGTTTCATGTACAACACAAACTTGCATGAAGTTGTGTTACTGGTGAGGATAAATATGTATATTTATTAATATATATTGTATAGCTCTGTTATATTGCATTGAGCACTATTTTATTAACACCAGCACTGAATGTACAATATTATATTATTATATATTCATTTATATATATATATATATATATAATTTCTCTATTTACCTGTTTCACATTTTCTTTTATTTATTTATCTAGCCTTAATTTCTTTGTTTATAACTTTTTTACTCAGCCTGGTTAAGAAGCAATTCAACAGAATTTCTGACTGGTCAGTCAGTTTTTGAGGCATATGTTGGCTCAAACACTTTTCAGGACCCTCATGAAATTGCTAAGAATTGCAATACTTCACTGGTATATTCTGCCTCATATTTTTGAGTATATATTGTATTCCAGGTATGTTAAATATAGACCCAGAGTGTGCCAAAAAGTGCATTTATATATAGTGCCATATAAGATATTTTAACCAGCTGAAAATGATGTAATACTCTTTTGCAAAAACTTATTTGAAAGGGTCATGCAATTTATTTAAAATTTGCCTTTTTCCTATCTTTTGTACAGAGGCAGCTTTTAGACAGAGTTTTGGAAGATATCTGCAACATAATGGGAAACACATCATCGTCATCATCACACACATCATGTAGCTCCCCGCCATCACTCCCTACCACCACTATTACCTCGTGTAACTTCATGTCCATCCAGCCACAATTTTATGATGGTGAGTCTTTCATAAATCATTTCCTCTGAGTTTTATTGCGGCAATTATATCTTGGACTCTTAAAATTTTTACCTAACAAGCACATGATTTTAAATGATTTTTTTTTAAAAAAAACATTGTCAGATGTACACCTGCAAGCTTGAATGATTATTTGGAGTTATCTCTCTTGGATCTCAGAAGATTATTTTAGTTGGAATTAACTTGCATCCATAGACTAATTTTTTTTTCTATTTTTACAAGGATTTATATAGTGTGGAAAAAATCGTTGTAGCATTTTCTCTTTTAGAGTGAAAGAATACTAGTTTCAAAATAATGAAGTGGAATCTGCTATAGCCAAATGGAACAGAAACAAAGTGGCAGGGCCAGACCGGATTATAATAGAGATGCTGGTAACCTTAGATGATTTTGGAATAGATTAGATTACAGAAATAATAAATGAAGTCTACAACAGCAGTAATATGCCAGAAGACCTAAGTAGATCTATTTTCACAGCACTGCCTAAGAAGCCAGGAGAAAACGAATGTGAACTACATCAGACAATTAATCTAATGAGCCATATAACGAAACTTATCATCCAAATTCTGATGAATAGAGTGCACAGCAAAATCAAACTGGAAATAGGACATGAACAGTACAGGTTCATCAAAGAAATCAAAACAAGGAACACAATATCTATACTCAGAATGTTACACAGATGCTGAAGGATGTGTAGCTGTGTTTTATAGATTACACAAAGGCATTCAATAAAGATATATCACAAAGATCTATTGGAACTGCTCAGCAACCTTGTTATATTTGGAAAGGTTATTAAAATAATCAAGAACCTATACTGCATATAGATAGAAAATGAGTTCAGCAGATATACAAAAATAGAAAGGGTGTAAGACAAGGATGTATTTTCTCACCAGACTTGTTCAATCTATACAGTGAAGTGATTCTGAGAGAATTAGAAGTATTACCAGGATTCATTATTGGCAGCCACAATCTTAGCAATATAAGATATGCAAATGACTCAGTGTTGATAGCAGACATGGAAAGAAAACTCCTATAGAAAGTAGTGAAAGAAAGCAAAAAGAAAGGACCAAGCATCAACTGCAAGAAAAGATAGAATGCATGGTTGTTAACAAAAGGATGATCCCAAAGTGTGAATTGCAAATCAGAGATACCAGAATCAAAAAAGGTGCAGAAATTTAAATATCTGTGAAATGTTTTAACAGAGGTTGGAAAGTGTGACACTGAAATTCAAAAGCATACCAAAAGCTAAGCAGAATACTAAGAAATAGAAAAAATTCATTAGAAACAAAGAAAAGATTACTAAACTGCTATATGATATCTATATTCTTATATGGCAGTGAGTGCAGGACAATCTCACAGATGAAGAAGAGACTTGAAGAAACAGAAATGTGGTTCTACAGAAGAATGCTGAGGATACCATGGACCAAACATATGAGCAGTGATAAAGTTTTTGAGAAAATCAAAAAAAAAGGATACTTATACTTATTATCAGGAAGAGACAGTTGAGGTTTCTGGGGCATATAATGAGGAAGGAGTGCTTGGAGAATCTGATACTCATAAGAGGCAAGAGGAACAGAGGAAAACAACACATAACATACTTAGTGTAAATAGATGGCTGAACAGGGCTTAGGAGAAACAACAGAGACAAAATTTATTAAGAGCTACAAGTAAGATGTGGAGAGCCATGATCACTTATATTCTGACACAGCACATAAAGAGAGAGAAGCACTTTAAAAAAAAAAAAAAGTCAACTTCTAAATTTGCATAATTGCTTCTGGACACATTTGGTTAAAATAAATAGATATGAACAAGAAATAATTTTTTTTTTTTAAATTAAGTAAACAGTAAAATATATCTTTAAAATTCAAACACATGTATCCACTAAATATAACATTTATAGTAATAACAAATAATGTTTGATTATAAATAAAATTTAATCTTTTAGAAATCATTTTGTTTATTTTTGTATCCAAAACCTAAATTTAACAAATAAGGTCTTGAAGGGATCCCAGCAAAAAATGTGCATTTCTTAAAAAAGGTAGTTGAACCTTGTTGGGCTGTGAAACCTTTCTGCAGTTGAGCAATCTGAAATACACCAGGAATGACAGAGGTTTTCCCCTAAGAGTGACACCAGGTCAAACTCTGTTGGAAGGCACATTTTCTTTATTAAAACTCTTGAATGCACAAGCCAGTAGATGTAAATTTATACTGTTTAAAAAACAAAAAAAAAACCAGCAATGTCTACATAAACACATGTATCCAAAAAATAGAATGTTTAAAGTAATATTTGTAGGCAAAAGTGCTCAATATCAGAAATAAAGTGTATGTAAATATAAAAGTGGACACCCAATGGCGACAGTCTATTTCATGCTTCAACACAATCTTCAGACCATATGTGTGGTTTTGACTTAACTATTTATATATGCTGTTCAGTGGTGCATTATGGGTAGAGTAAGGTCTATTGTGTTTTCCTGACATTTATTGGGTAGGCAGTAACGGTTATGTTTCAAATTATTCTAGAGGTTATTGAGTAAAAATAAATGTGGATCTGAATGCAATTATTTGTTTTTATATATATATATATATATATATATATATATATATATATATATATATATATATAATGTATATTTGGGCATCAACTTTTGTTTCATACATGTTTCATTGAGTATAACAGGCATGGAAAATTTGATGAATTTTTTTATTGAGTTTTTCTAGTATTCTTAAATTTTTCTCTTTGTTAGGTGTAAGGAAGTGTAAAAATTGTCCAAAGCACTTTCAGTCACTTTTTTTTTTTTTTTAGCTGAAAGCACTTGTGACAATAGACAATTTTTACACTCCTTTACCTCCACCAAATTTAAGGATACTAGAAACTCTCAATAAAACATTAATCAAATTTTTCTTGTCTGTCATATAATAAAATATCTGATATGAAATATCTGAACAAAATATATAAAATGAAAACATATGAAAACCAGTTTCATTTTTTTTAATCTGTTGTTAACATTTCATTCAATAAAAACATTATCAGAAACCAGTTTCATTTTTTTTTAATCTGTTGTTAACATTTCATTCAATAAAAACATTATCAGAACAACTAATAATATTATTATTAAAAAGAGCTTGGTTTAAGAAAAGACAAAGAAAAGAAAAAACAATGTTAAACAATATTTCAACAGAATGTCTGTCTTTAAGTTATATGCAGAATCTACTAATTTGTTGACTCTTAAAATGAATGAGGAATGGTTATGTATGTAAATTATTAACTTCCCAGCCCAGGGAGATAAACAGAATGACAGGAGAGTTCCATAAGAGTTATACTAATCTGTTTAGTTACTAAGAGAAATTAATCAATCAATGGACAGAAAATTTCAAGATGAACAAGATCTCCATCAGATTAAGCCTGTTTCAGTTGCATACCTTCATGCAGGCAGCGCTTCATTCATTTTGATGCGTACATTACCAGTTCAGCCATTTTTTTTCAGTACAAGTAACATTTGTACAAGGACTTATCAGTTTTGTACATTTATATCTTTTTATACTTAAATAAAAATTAACTTGAAGAAGATAGACATATTGTCAAAAGATTGTTTAACATTGTCAAACACTGTGTTTTTCCTTTTCTTAAATTGTATTCTCTTACCTGTTGAAAAATATTGCGAGAGTTACATGAATCGTTTTTTTGTTATTATTCTTACTATTACTATTATTAACGTTATTTTAGACGGGTACATGTGTTTGAGCAGATATCTCTTTTTGTTAAACAATGAAATTAACATCTACTGACCTTAATTTCTTTGTTTAAAAAATAGGTATGTTTATTCAAAACGTGTAAATACTAAAATAATGTTTATAGTAATAAAATGTCAGATTAAAAAAAGCATTAATTGCCTATATATAATTTATTTATTGAATCATTAACCTATTCATATACACCCTAAAATCTAGTATTAATGATAAAATTTAAAATAAAAATTTGATATTAATTATAGATTTATAAAAAAAGAAAATTTAGTATTAATTATAGGTTTATAAAATCTATATAGATTTGATTGATGCCCAAAATAGGATGGTCAGCATTAAGGAATTAATAAAACTGTATTACCATTTACTGCAAATGATTTAGCATAAATGTGTTTCAAGTGATAATCTAATAGTTATTTATTATGTGTGTGGAAATATTTTACTTACACATGTGTTACAATAGTGTGTTGAAACTAAAAACAAAACATTTGAATGGTTTGTTTAATAGACTTTCATATTAAAACTACACAAAATATTAAACAAAATGAAAATTTTTATTGGAAACAAAGTAAAGAGTGTTGAACTATCAACCTTCCTATATGGCAGTGAATCCTGGACTATTTCCTCTAAGAAGAGACATGAGGCAACAGAAATGTGGTTCTACAGAAGGGGGCTGATAATACCATGGATGTTGTGAGCAACAAGAAAGTTAAATTAGAATCAGAAAGAAATTTCTAGTATACATAATGAGGATGGAGCACTTGGAAAATTTGAAACTCACAGGACACAGCAGACTTGTGTAAATGAATGGCAGAACATTGAATGGAAGTTAGAGTAAAAAGATAAACATTGCTAGCAATAGTGGTTCCTGGACAATTTCCTCACAGGTGAAGAGGTGATTTGAGCCAACAGAAATATGGTTCTATAGAAGGATGCTGAGAACACTACAGACAGAACCTGTGTACAACAAGGAAGTTTTGAAACAAAAATGACACATTTACTTTGAAAAGGCAGTTGAAATTTCTGAGGCACATAATGAGGAAAGAGGGCTTGGAAAATTTAACACTCACATGACATATTGAAGGGGGGAGAGACAGAATGAATTAGCATGTAACTGACCTAATAAGGTTGTGTAAATGGATGACAGAAAGGGGAATGAGAGGTTTTGTAAAAAGACAAATATTGCTAAGATCTACAAATAGCAAAAAGTTCAGGACATGACACAGAGAAAAGAAGCATTAAAAGAAAATTATTTTGGTAATGTTCATCCACAGATACCAAGAATATAAACAATACTATTGTGAGATTCCAATAATTGGTCCAGTCATCCTTTATTCTGAGATTGTCTAGCATCTTGGATAAATTGACAGAATTTCTTAATCTGATAGTTTTAGTTTCAAATTTATCACAGGTCTGTTAATGTGTTTCTTTTCTGAGTTAATTCCAACTATTTTTATTTTCACTGTCATTACAAAGCAATTTTCATAAGTAAAATCAGAGCCAAATGCATGCTACCCTGAGACCCTCAACAATTGCTTATTTTTCTACCTATATTTATTTACATCACAAGTTAAACTAAGCACATATGATTATTATAAGGATGAAATATCTTTATGGGTTTTGACATTATTCGGGGTGGTTGGGTGTCTTTTTTTTCATGCAAAATCCAAGAATTTATTTTGCTCATGCTAAGTCTTGAAAAAATACAGTATTTTTTATCTATTTTTTATCCATTTTTTATCCATAATGTTCACTATTTTTTATCCATAATGTTGAATGTGTTAAAATTATTCAAGTTTTTAACAAGAAAAATCTCATGCTGATGTTAAAAATTGCTGCAAAACATTGTTGATTTATTTAAGATGGAATCATCTATTATGACATGTTTCTAATCTGTCTTTAGATACACTGTATTAAGTGACATTATAATGTATTTGTTACAAACAATAATTGTAAAACTAACTAAAGAATTAAATATACCTTTAAAAGTACTTTTCTTTTTTTTAATCTCACCATTTCTTTGCATTATTTTCTTTCTTCCAGGAATCATCCAGGAGGTGTCGGTGCAGCTCCTCCAAAATAACCTTACAAGCACTGAGGTAGCGAGCCGACAGATGGTGTTCCATAGTGTGTATCTGCTTCTGTTTCTTGCATGCGGAATGTTCCTGAGTCATGCGGTGGCGCAGGTCATAAACTATTACGTCTTTCATGAAAGCAAGGTCCCGATTCTTCGGATCTACCAGACAACGAGCTCATCTTCCCCCTGGCCCGAGCACCACAACTGTACCGTGAAAGACATGCACCGTAGCGCATCTTGGTTGCAGAGTAGCGAGAGCGGCGTATACCTTGGAGACAATGAAGAGAATGTACGAGAATCGCAAATGTAAATAGGAGAATCTATCACAGATTATCTGCCTCCTTCTGGGGTTTTTTTGTACATGATCCTGGACGGCTCCAGTCTCTCGTGCACAATAGTAAGAGTTCTGGGTTCATACAGTGGCCATACTAGCTTGTCTACGCACTCCACTAGTGACCACGGGAGCAAATGACGACGACGACGACAACAACAACAACATCAACTCTTATCGTTTTGTACCTACAGTTTCTTACAGTTTGTACAATCGGCTATTACAAATGCACACAGCATTCATCTGGGATTTTCAACATTTGGTCAATCTCACACCATACACAATAGAGTCAGGCTGTTGTTGGATAGTTAATGTCTGCCCATCCGGTGACTATCTTATTATATTCTAATCATCTCCAACATAAACGAAAACCATTATTCCCTGAACCAAAGGCAACGTTTTACAGAAACAACAAGAAAATAAAAAGAAACAGAAGACAATGAATGAATGAAAGAAAGAGAGAGTGAAAGTGAAAGTAAGTGAGGAAGAATGAGACTAGAGTCTCCAATCCCTGAATTCCTTTCAGGGTAGATAAGACAAACTTTATATGCTTATCTACTCTTGTTTCTTTTTTGTTTGTTTATTTTTTTTTTTTTAACATTTTTTTCTTTCCTCCCCACTGAATTTTTCCCTCCTCCTTTTTTTATGGGAAAAAAAAAATTAAAAAAAAGTTTTTCTTTTTCTTTTACTCAAGCTTCCACAGAAGCAACAAATAAAAATTTTATTTAGCAACTGCCTTGCACCCATCTCTCTAAGATAACAAGAGTATGCTGGTTGCAATATTTACTATTGACACCAATCCCAACATAAATAAAGATATATATATATATATATATATATATATATATATATATATATATATATATATATATATATATAATAGTTAGGTCGGGGGGGGGTGCTTGCAGAGTAGGGAGGGGAGGGTTTCAGTCTTATGATAATGAATGCATGTAACTGCAACAATGATGTCAGTTTGTATCTAAGATGCTGATAAAGATTCAAAAGCATCATAAAATACAAAGAAAATAAACACAAACGCCTCCCCCTCCTATTGTACAAAAAAAAAAAATCTGTTTGCAATCCAGTGTAGGATCATCTGTCAGCTACAGATCGATCTGTTAATCCAGTGTAGGATCATCTGTCAGCTACAGATCGATCTCAACTATTGACCAATTT